ATTCTCTCAGGCTTTCACAGAGAGCAAATTGGTCAAGCAATGGCCGTGACTCATTCACATGGCTGACACTGACAAAGGATCTACAAATTACTGTACAGGGTTTCAGGGTAAATCCTGAGAGGATTTGACTGAACTTGTCGGATACAAAAATTACGTTTCTTGTTATATAGTTCTTGATTTATCTTGGTCTTAACCATCCAGACGAAAAAGTATAAAAAGTAAAGCCATAATAATATGTTGAACTGTAAATGGCTCAAGTCAACAGCTTCTGACATTGCCTGTCCTATGGATAACCCACTACTATTATGGACTACCAGACTACATTAGATTATTTTGCTGAAATCACTCACTTACAATATTTAAATGGTAATAGCAATGGAATACCCATCTCTGACTAAATTAAACAAAAGAAGGTTATACAAATGAAGGTCCATTTTGTAGTGAAATATTTTAGGGTAGATATACAGCTACTTCATCTTAATTCAATGAGAAGAAGGATTTGTACTAATAGTTTTTGGACAGGATATCATGTCTTCATCTTATAGTATGAATAACTACTATGATGACAATAATATACAATGTATTAATTATTGTAACTGTCCTACTAACCTGTTTTGAAACTGTCTCGTTGTTTGTTTCTCAATAAAATTAATTAAAAATGCAAAGAAATAATAAATGTTTAAAAAGAAAAAGATAAGGGGCAGTGAGAATGCTCAGCAAAGTAAGCACCTGCTTAGGCAAGCACAGGGAGTAGAGTTCGATCCTGGCACCATATGCTGAACCTACCCCTGGGTACGCTGAGCAGGTGACTGAGTCCTGCTGTGGTGGCTTGTGCCTCTAATCCCAGCCCTGTGGAGACTGATAGCAGGAGGATCACTATGAATTCAAGCTGTGTAGTGAGACCCTGCACAAAAAAAAGAAAAAAGAAAAAGGCGCTGATTACCATGACCACAACATTATACAATGTAAATAGGCATGGTTATTATATCAATTTTTTTAAAAAATTAAAAATACTTTAGGTGTTGTGATATATGTGCACCCGTAAATATAACAGCACAATTTGTTATAGGTAAATGTTGGAAATAAGCCAAATGCTCATCAACCGAGGAATGGACAAAAAACATGTAGTAATTTATGTAATGGAGTATTATTCAGCTATAAAAAAGATAAGCTCAAGGCTTTAATAGGTAAATGAATGCAACTAGAGACCATTCTCATAAGTGAAATAAATCAGACCCACATGTATAAACATCATACTGTCTTGCTATTTTTATTTATTATTTTTTATTTTTTGTGGTACTGGGGATTGAACTCAGTACCTTGTGCTTGCCAGGCAAACACTTATTCTATTGAGCTATCTCCCCCACCCTGTGTTGCTATTTTTAGAACCTGAAAGAACAAGTAAAATCTGAAAGGTACAATGGATACTTTGAAAGGGAAAGAATCTATTCATAGGGAAGGAAAAAAAGGGATGAGGGAAAATAGAAAAGAAGGAAATCAGGAAAAAATATACATATACACACATAGCTTAGATAATTGTATTGCCCATTTCTCCTTGACCATTAAAAGGAATAGTTACTGCTTAATTTTTTTTCTTCTTTTAAGGTGTTTTTTTTTTTTTTTTTTTTTTTTTTTTTTTTTTCCAGAACCGGGGATTGAACTCAGATCCTTGCGTTTGCCAGTCAAGCACTTATCCTACTGAGCCATCTCCCCGACCCCTTAAGTTTTTTTTTTTGACCAATTTTACATGCTTATATCTGGTAATTTGAAGTAACAATTAATTTGAAAACTGCAATATGCACTATAACAACCATTGTTGAATTTCTATCATTTTATTTAGGATGTCTTTTTTTTACTAATTTTTATTCTCTTTAAAAAATAAATATGTACAATGATCACATAACAAATATATACAAAATAGGTAAATCAATAGAACAAATCAACATAAATAGGATCTAGTGTTTATAAACATGTACCACATAATCAGAATAAACTAAATGAAAAAGCTATAATTACTGATATTTGTATTTTCTTGATTTTGCTTTAGCCTGATTGCTTTCCTATGAAGAATTATATTCAAGATTTGTTTGCCTGAAGTAATAATAAAATAATTAACTTCATGAATAACTTTATATTAATTAGTTAGAACTGAGTGTTAAGCTGAACTAGAATAGTGACACCATGAAGTCATGAGAGTTCAGTCTTTACCTTTATGCTTAAATTCCATCAGATGCCCACTGAAAAGGAAAGAACCTTGCCATGATAGTGGAGACAAGCAACACTTTCAGGAAGGAAAATGAAAAGCCTCACTTTCCATCCTGATCTGACAGGGATGTGGCAAAACCGTGCTTATCTCTTTGAGTGCATTTTTAAAGGAAGTAATTTACCTTGACTACTAAGACTGAAATGCAATGTATAAGAAGTTATACATTGAAGAAGTTTTAATGCTAAAATTAAAATAGCTAACCTGAGTGTGTATGTGTAATATATTTTAGAAGATAAATAAATAAAACTACATGTAAGTGTTCTGCTCCTTCATATTAACATTGATTAAAAGAAAATAAGATGACAATATTTATACCAACAATGACATTTATGTTCAATGATCTATCTTATGTCAACATATCCATTTAAGAATGGTTGTGCAGGGGCTAGGGATATAGCTCAGCAGCATAAATGCCTGCCTGGCAAGTGCAAGGTCCAGAGTTTGATTCTTTTTTTTAAATTATTTTTATTGAGAAACAAATAGCAATGAGTTTCAAAACAGATTAGTAAGACAGTTTCAATAATTAATACATTGCATATTGTTGTCTTCGTAGTGGTTATTCATAGTACAAGATGCAGACATAATGTCCTGCCCAAACACTATTAGTACAAATCTTTCTTCTCATTGAATTAAGAGAAAGTAGCTATATATCTATCCTATTTTGTATATACAGATATAAAATGGTAGCTCATTTGTATCCCCTTTTTTTGTTTAGTTTTGCCAGAGATGAGTATTCTATTGCCATTTAAATATTGTAGGTGCGTGAATTCAGCAAAATAACCAGTTTGATTCTTTGTACCAAAAAAGGTTGTATAATTACAATTCTAGACTATTCCATAGACATTTGATTATGTATTTGTATATATTTGGATAATACAGTTATGCAACCACAACTTAGATTCATGGTGCTTCAATTTCCTCATTTAAAAAGTAGCAGTAACTAATTAGAAGACAATGATATGCAATATAACAGC